GAAGACCCAAATGCTGCAAAGCTTGAAACTCAATATACCTACCACTGGCAATCATAGTATCACTTTCTGGCTTATACTTCCCCTTACTATGGACTCTTCCATTAGCTTCGGTGAGATGTACAGATCCAAGACAGGCAGGAAAAAAATCAAAAAATTTGTGGATGCTGAAAATATTTGCAGGCTTATGTCCTCTATAGTGGAACAGAGGGAGATAGGAAAAGCGCCTCCTTTTTAAACATACCAAGCAAGTTTGGTTTCTCAAGGAACAGATTTTTGAGAAAGCAACAAAAGAACTCTAAACTGATTTCTGTCAGCATTAGGTGAAGAAAGGCAGTTTTCACTCTGCAGAATTCCAGACGCTTCCCTTGAAACCTGCTATGAAAGACTGTAACAGAGGGAGACTAGAGGTAGAGTTCAGTCTGAGTTTAAGACACACAAAGTAGGCATCTACATGCAGGCATATACATGCACTTCGTCTCCAGGCTTGCATTATAATCTTTGGAGATACAGTCAATTTGTCTAGTGGCGTCTAGAAGGCTATTGAGCTGACCAGCCAAAAGGTGTCTATTTTAGAGTGACCCAAATCAGTTTCTCGCCTCCACTGACTAAATTACACAGTTGATATAGTCGATAAGATCTCACGCGCCTAGCGCACATGCAGAGGTCCAAACTGTAAGCTCTTGAGAACCTTACTCATACTGACAAGGATAAAAGAGAATCTAGCCTTGAGGGAAATGGCCTTCTCTGGCTCAGGCAACTTAAGAAAGAGGTACTAGTCATTTCCACAGACTTGTTCAGCATAATAAGAATTAGGTTTTTAAGCAGGTGGAACCCTTACAGCATGGGCTGCGGCAAAAGGGTTCTCATCTCGCTTAGCAAAGCAGGACACCAAATAACCTTGTACTAGCAGAATCACCTCCATTTGCCCCGAGTGGAGTAGGTATGAAGAACAGGGAAGCTTAATTATAGTAGGGCCTCTCTAATCAGTCAATATTCGTACGTGCCTCAAGATCTAAGCTACTTTTGAAGAAGCCCACTGGGGTGAAGTGTGCTGTATAGAGGAGGTGAGCCCTTCAGTTCAAGATGGTACATCTTCCTCAGACCTTTCATTAACATTCTCCTATGTAGAGGACACAGACATAACTGGCCCTCTGTGAGCTAGGATTCACCAGGAATCTCGCTCCTCGTATTGAAAGGAGAGCTGGTAGCAAGGATCAATGCTGCAGAAGATGAAAGAGCTGAAGAAGAAAAGAGGCTGTCAGACTGACTGGTGACTGTTAAAGGTTTGGAGTTCTGGGAAATACAGGAGGAGGTATAAGCTCTGCCACACGTGCTAACAAGAGGTGTGCGACTGACAATTCTGAGTCCCTTCTGCTGTCCGAGCGCTATTACGTCCCTAAGCCCTCTATATGGGGCTTCAATAATATACAGAAGTACCTAAAATACAACAAGTCAACCTAACGGTGCTATCAATAAAAGGCTGAAGATCAGGAAGACTTATAACATTTACTGAATGTGCAAAAAGCCATGTACCAGAAACAGTTTGGCCATAGGGTTTTAGGAGGTCAGCCTGATACCTTAAGGACTATTGAAGGTAAAGGAAGTCAGGAAAAGACTGGCTAAGGAAAAGCAGACCTAGATACAGGACTAACTCTATTACATGAAAAAAATTTGATCCTGAAAGGTTTTCACAGGGAAATTGCTGCATTTCTCCCTCCTCGCAATTTTGTAAGTATACTCAATAGGCACCCAGCACCCTGGAAGCAAGGCCAAACTTACTCAAAAATACCAACTGTAAAGTACTTGAGGTTTCTGGAAGTTTGGCCATACGCCCTAGCTATGATATTTTTATTTACTTAAAAACCTAGTCTTGATTTAGCAGGTCTTTATCTAAATGAATATAGAGTCTCTCAGAGTTTGTTGAGTGGTAAGTGTACTGTTACTTTACAAAACCTCTGGAAAGTTTGCGGTTAGGAATGAAGACATATCAAAAAACACACACATAAAGGTCCATAATAAAATGTGTACCTGCCTTGCTGCCTACTAGGTTAAACTACCAGTTATCCAGAGTTCTTCATGCACAGTGGCTTGAGTTTTTTGGCTCAGAAACGGCAACAAACGTTGCTTAGCAAATGGGGTTTTCTGCTGATTTTCCCCCATCTTCCTTCAGTTAGCAGCAGATGGAATTCAATTTTTCTATCAATTTCTAACAAAGAAGACGGAAAGCAAAAACAATAATAAAAAAATCCCACACAAACATTCTAACCATCTGGACACTGAAATGCAGAAATAATACTTCTTTCCACCTAGGTTCTTACAACTTGCCCAAATTCTCACTGTGGGTAGAATTAGGCTCTGCATTTCTACAAACTATCACATGCAGATAATAACTTAATTTGATATTCGTAAAGAAATAGTTTTCTATGAATATAGAAAATGTTAATAAACCTGATGGTTCCCTAAAACTTTATAGAGATGCAGCCAAAAATATGGCATCTGTTTGTAAAATGAGAAAAAGCTTATATGTAAAAAATAGCTCAAGTAATTAGTATTTTTGAAATTAAGACAGTTACTGCTGCAAAGATCTGCAAAGCTGGTACAAACTAATCTTTTGTTTGAAGTCTGGTAGGGCACAATGTACGTTAGAGTTGCAGAATGAGAAAAACTGACAGTCTTGACCTATTTTGCAGCTGAGGCTGAACAGAGGAGTGCTGTAAGCACTCTCGGATTGCTGAGATATGTTACTCTGGCAAAATATTCCACTCTTTCATAAAATGTTTCACCTTAATACTGGCGTGCTTGTAAATATTAATTAGGGCTAATAACCCCACTTTCAAGTAATTACTATTACAATGATGGCAGAGTTCTAACAGTGTACAGAAGAATCTTGAAAAGAGCATCAAAGATATCTCTTGGAGAACAGAGATGGGATTTCCATAGACATTTTTCTAACGGAGGTAGCAGAAGCCAAACTGAACAGATACGTCCCTGACTTTGAATGTTAACTTTGAACTGGTCAATTGTCTCTTCTTTGGACAAATCCATTACACAGAATTAAGAGACTGCATATTATTTGATGAGTATTTTAGTGAAATGGCCCTCCCCACAAAACAGAGAGGAATGGACAGAAATCTAACTTTTCCCTTTTGAAAAATCCCTGATTTTTAAAATAATAGTTAAAACACACAAAATGAGTAGAAACATTTAATTTCAGTTTAGACAAAGCATATCAACTGGCCCATGGTTGCTTCTATTTTTTTTGCCTTTGTTTTCAAAAACCGAAAAAAATGTTTTTAGTTAATATGAAATTTTAATTTTCAGAATATTTTAGGGAAGGAAATGGAACAGCCAAAACTATCAATAACTCACACAGCTCCACTATTAAGTACTGACCCTCTTTAAGACGTTTTAGAGTTTTAGCTCCCTAGGGAAAAGGGTGTTGTGTCTTCCAGAGCTCTTTGATGCACAGTAAGGAACATGCCCTGGGCATGATCCTTTAGAAACCTATGTCATGCGCTAGCCAGCCTACACAGCCATCTTTCTCACTTATGGTAGCACTGCATACGAACACAACAAATTAGAAATATTTTATAGCAGGGACAATCCTATTAGGAGACTGCAGGAAGGACGGTTGTGTTTTTCCCCTTCAAAAGTATTATAAAAGGCAAGTTCTCATGCGTGCTGTTCCCTCCCTGCAGCTCTGTTTTGTACAAAGGTCTTCTTCACTGGGGTGAACAAGCTGTGTTTAAGACACCTTGGCTTTAGCAGAACTGCAACGAAAAAGTGAATTTGAAAGCACAAGAAAGGGAGGCCTAAGTTTACATAAATTAATGGGGAACCAAGATTAACAACTGCAGTCAGCACACAGACCACTAGAAGAAATTTTCCAGAGTCTTACTCATACTGATAGAAAAGGTTTGGATATACAGGTGTAAGTACAGTTTATTTTTAAACATAAACGTTTTAATAATAATCGTATTTCAGTCTCACTCTTTTCATCAGTTTTTAACTATCTAAATAAGACAATATTTTAAAATGCAGCTTTTGTAACAGAACTCTCACAAGCCCCCTGACCTTGTGACTGTGATTATTTAGGAGTAGTATGGACTCCATTTCATTACTACCCATACTCTTCTTCACTGAGGACCAAGAGACAACATGGCATCCTGAGGGGCTAATTAAGAGATCAGTGTTGACATTTTAGCAAATCCACTTCGCTTCTCAGAGATATTCCTTTAATTCCCCCTTTATCATTTTTGGACTAGAAAAAAACAGTAAAGAAAACAAAGCCATTTTATAAACAGCTATATTGAAGTACTCAGAGGTTAAACACTTGAAAAAGTAAACATATCAAAGCAGAGACAATGACGGGAAGAAAACCTGTAATGACACTCTTAACTCTGGCTCAACAATGAGTGAGTTTGCCTGCCATCAGCACCGTAGGGACGTGATGCCTGTAGTCATTAGTCAGCACTGCATATTTTCTAATAATCACAGTCTTCTGCATAGTGTGGATCAGGAGTCCTTATACAGCACAACAGATGCATTTCCAATTAAAATACTTGCAAGGAATTCTTCAGCAAACCTTCCAGGCAACAATGTCCAACCATACAAGCATAAAAAACAGAATAAGGAAATGCCTAAAATCCTATTGAGTGACTCTGGAAAACTCCTTATTGAAAGAATATTTTATAAATGGACTTCTTCTTAAGCACTATGTCTGCTTTAGTCACGATGAATGAGAGTTGACAGGTAAAGCACTTTCAACAACCAAGCTTCTGGAATAACAGAAAGTGTAAGCAGTAAAAAACGTGCATCTGTTATACTAAAAAGGTATTAAAAAAACAAAAAAGATTTTTTTTCTTTTCCCATTTATTAAATTTCAGCATGATAGCTGTATTGGACTTCTTGGCTTTTGTTAGTAAACTACACCCGAAACCTCTTGCCCTCTGTCAAAACAGACGACCTATCAAAGCCTCATACCTTCAACTGACCTGGCGTGGTGGCTGATGCAATCATGCGGGCAGTGACCTTTTCAGTTTAAATAGAATGCGTCTTGCAAGGGCAGCGCTGGATTAGTCTTTCAGTTCCTCTTTACGTGTTCTCTGCCCCCCTGCTGAGACATAATTACAATCTTTATTTTCAGTGTTCAGGCTGAAGACGGAGGCAAACCACTTTGTCTGGATGGCTTTTTTTTCTTGTCTCATCAAGGTATTTCTGAAAGGCATTATTTTTGCTGTTGGAAGCAAGATACTATTTAGCATTTTCCAGAAGGGGACTTGATCATTTCTGCTGAAAACTAGCTCACACTTTCATAAAGCTCTAGAGTAGCTACCATCCAGAGGCTTGGATTCAATCTGGCTCAACAAAGAGCTCAACTGCAAACCTTGGCATGAACCCCTATTTCTCCAGAGTATATGTGGAGTTGGTGTTTTAATTGGATCCAGTCTGAATACTTCCCAAACCTGGGGAAGGTTTCCTGTACCACTAAGACCATATTTGCCCACTCATGCCTTTTGATTACTTAGTTCAAACATCCAGCAGGCCAGATCTTCTCCTGTGCCAAGATCTGCGAAGCGCTGCTTATGGCTCTCCGACTCTCTGCTGTGTGCATGCCAGTCATGGGGCTGCTCTTGCTTGTGCCAGCTGGCACAGGTCCCCGGTAGGCCAGCTGTCTGCTATGCCTGGCTGCAGCACAGGCGCCTTCTAACACCCTTCTCCCGCGATTTAGTCCCTGTGAGGCAGGTGCCAGCTCCTACCTGCCAGAGTGTGATCAGGTGGCCAGATACAATCTCTGTCCGAAAGCGCTGGGTTGCCCTAGGGGGGCTATGCTGCAGGTTGAGTCTGATCTTAAACTGCTGCAGTAATGAAAGGGAAGGATTTTTGAAGGTTTTCTAACAGGATATTCTGATTTCAGGAGAACCCTATAGATTTTATGGACTGCAAATGTCAGTGTTCCCTGATGTCAAATCAGCTCCCTAAGCCAGGGAAAAAGTATTTTCATTTACTGTATTCTGGTTTTCCATGTTGGAGAGTAATCAGAGTCATTACAAAACTACAGGAGTGATCTGAGGCTTACATTCAACCAGGATGATACTGTTATCTTTCACTGTACCACAATGAATCTTGGGCCATTTCTACAAACTGATACACAGACTTGTGTTCCCACTAAAATCAAGGAGGCTGTATTTATTACATTAAGGTTTGCAAGGTCTCAGAGATACTTATCTCTTTGTCAAAGATGTATTTTTTTTCTCGAATCCAGTCTACTCATACTAAGTTTTAAACGGATTATAACACAGACTCGTAAGACTACATAAAAGCTGCAATCAGACTCCATAAGTTTATTTAGTTTTATTCTTTACTTCCCAAAGGAACTGTATAAACAAATTAATTCCAGATCCTAAAAGGGATACTATCAAGATCAGTGGTTTAAAAAAAAAAAAGGCTTAAGTAATTCAGCTTTTACGTTTTCTGTTTTTTAGTTAAAAGCACTATACACAGGTATATATGGTTTACAGTGAGGTTTAACTACAGCAGTTATTTTAGCAGGCATTCATCTGGACACAGTGGACTACAATAAAAAAGTATAAGTTAGTCAGTCGTATTGTACAAATACAATATTACAATACAAATACATTTCGGTTCTGGGTCTCTCAAAGAAAGACCCAGAGCCCCATGCCTTTAAACTGGCCTGCTGAGTTTAAGACTGCTCAACTGTGTTAGCATTGCAGAATCAGGACCTAAACTTAACACTATTGCATTCAGTAAGAATTACACTACACATTAGGCTGTAATATTTCGAGACGTCATACAAGAAAGCACTCTAGGAAGGAAATAGCATATAACTCTCATGTACTGTAACAACAGAAAAGCTATATAAAGCAAAGATGACTCAACTCACATCAAAAGTTAGGGAGAAATAGCTAGCTTTATATTTTTATGCTCACACTGTACTACAAGGCGAGTATCTAAACCAAGCACAAGGTGTTTATAAATGAAGGTTTAAAAGCTGACTAGAGACATCAAGTGTCTCACTTTGAGCCAGGCCACTACCTGTGTTTGTTAGTTAAGTGTTCAGGGTATCTGCACTTGGGACCTAGCAACAGACCCACCCAAAACCATCCTTGAAAACTTAGTCTAAAAGATTGAACTTGCAGGAACAGAAAAAAATATGTATTTATACAACTATGGAAAAAGATCAGCTCTCTTCTTTTTCCCAGCTTACTTCTGTTTGAATTTATACTCCAACCTTTAAGTCATACAAGTTCAGTAAAGCTAACTTCAATTTACAGCATAACCAGTTAAGAGAAAAAATTGTATCCTGTATAGCTCCATATTAACTGTATTAAAAATCTGCTCTAAAGAGTATGCGTGGCAGGGAACAATGAATATTAGTATTTAATGTGAATACTCTTATGTGCATTTATTATGAATACATGAATGTTTGCTCAGTACCCAGCACATTGGAATACAGATCCCATAAATCTTTAAGAAAACTAGTGCCTACCCTATAAAGCTTTATCACCTAAACTGATAATAACATTTTTATCTATCTAAGCAGCTCTATGAACTTCACTGTGAAACTGTACATGTAAATAAACTATAGAAGTCTGTGTCTAAGAGAATACTGTGTCCAGGATTTTGACAGTATACCTGAGGAAAATAAACAGAAAAGCAGGAGCAATTTGGGAGACAATGCAGCAGTAAGGCCAATCACGTTTGCATAAATCATATGGCGGTTGTCCTTAGAAATTTGTTACTTTATATGAAACACTGTTCCCATGCATATCTTAATCAGTAGGTTCTTTCTGGATCAGAAGTAAATATATTTGGGGGCAAGTTTGTTCATTTTAAGATTTGCAATAGGCACTTTGCTTCTGCAAGTTATTACACTGTCATCCACACTGTTTTGTTTTGCTTTGCAGCCAGACTGGACTGGGGCTGCACGTGTGCATTCTCCACTGTAACCTGAATTTCCCAAAGACTATCTTAACTAAATACCATAAAAAGGTAACACCGGACAAGGTCTCCAGAAATTACACAGCACAAAACCCTGCCTAAAACATAACTGAGCTGCTTGTCTAACATGTAATCAACATTTCTAATGATGAATATCTACTGACTTTTCCTTGGTAGCCTGTTACAATACTTAATTCTACTTACAGAATTTCTATTTTCCCTGGCTGTAAAAAAGCCTATTACTATGTATCCATCTCCCAGTGGACATGCAGGAGGCTTAACTGTTTTCCTAACAACCTTTGGCATATTGGAAGACTTAAATCCTTTCCTCCTCAGTTCTTCACTTTTCTACACCAAACAGACAATTATTTTGACTTTGCTGCATTGGTCATTTGTTCTTCACTTTTAATCATTTCTTCTGATCTCATCTGGAAATTTTACATCCACCTGGGAGCTTGCTGCCAAAAGCTGGGCAAAGTATTTAGCAGAGGGCTCATAATTATGTGGCTCTGTTCAACAGTAAATTTCCAAGTCTGAAGTGTATCTTTCCTGTTAAAATATTGTGAAACAATGCCTGTGGTCTACTATAAATCCCTTGCCCACTCCCCCCACCTTTTTCTGTAGTATCAGTTAGAAAGCCAGTTATTCCACATTTGCATAAAACCTGCACTGTTTGTTTTAAATCTGAAGTGATAACTTCATAAATTCCACAAAGAAAATGAAGTGTATCTGCTCATTCTTAAAACCTTTTCACTGGTTAAAACCTGTGAGTTTTAACTCACTGCCTTCCATCAGGAGAGAATTCCACTGACCAGTAGACTTCATTTGAAAAATTACTTCTTTCTAAGCGTTCAACAGCTCTTGACAGCACTATCTCACTGCGTTGAACCTCTGCTTTTATGTTATGGGATGAAATAAATGTGAGATTATTCTATTTCTCCCATAACCACTGTATTCTTTAGAGCCCTCAATAAAATACCTTCTAAAACTTCCTTTTTTCCTAAAACAGTTGAAACCGTCCTTTGCAGCATCTTGAGTCACTTTTATGTTCATCTTTGAAACCCAACCAAAAATGGGGCTCTGCTGCATGACAGGCACTGCTCAAATGCAGAATACTAACCCCAGAGAGTTTAGCAAGCTGTACCTTTCAGATGGACGTCTGGTAGAGAAATGGGGTATAAAACAAAGGAATATCAAACAGCATAACGGCTGTACGTGGAGGGAGAGAACAAGACAAAAAAATTATTATTACATATGGATAATAATATTAATTAATATAATAATAATTATATATGTAATATAATTATTATTATATAAACATATAAGGCAATATGATTATTATTATATATGGAGGGCAAGGCACAGGACAAGATGAAGGGACAGGTGCAGAAGGAAACTGGGAGGAAGAGAATGGGAAGGAAGGAATGGGAAAAAAACCTGACCAAGCCAAGACGGAGTAGATGAAGTCTAGTGAAAACTACACCATTCCCTGAATGCCTAAAGTTCTGTGCTTTTGTTATTTCTGTGGCTGTTTCTGCCCACAGGAGTCCAAAGGCATACAAGTTTGCTACACTGACCACGTTATTGTCTCCCTCCACTCAGTTTCATTCTCATCTTAGCATTTTGCAACACAAGTAATCTTCTAGGGGTAGTGGGTAAATAGTACAGAGCTCACCCGCATTTAACAGTCATCCTTTTGTTTTGTATTCCACTGTGCATCAACATAGTTACTAGAAAATGCATTTTAGTTTTAACTAAGTTTTAGACAAAAAAACAATGTATAAAGTCTTTGAGAGGGAAGAGAACGGTCCATCTGATCTAGAATCCTTGGGGACAACACAGAGTATTTCTCCATTTTTATGTAAATAGGTTATCTACTCACTGTGGTACTACTATCTACTTGGCCTCAAAGAACTAAATTCTGTTCAGAGTTTTAGGGATATCGGGAAAGGTACAAATAAAGCAGCCGCTAATGGCTCCCAGCAACCAAAGAGGCCAAATGACAGTTGAATAAAACAGTAACTACAACTAGAATGAAATTAGTTCTTCCCACACCTCAAAGGGTTTTTAAAGAGTGGAAAGCAAAAAAGGAAACAGTAGCATCAAGTCAGCCTTTAAAAACCACAGAGGAAAAGCAGCTCACCAAAGGGGAACTCGGAGAGCTTGCCTGCAGAAGGAAGTAGCTTTGAGGCTCTTGGGCTAAGCAAGCCAAAGAAACAATGCAGAGTCCAGGGAGAAACCTCCGTGATTCAGAGGAGCTCAACAGCACAGATCTGAAAATCTAAAAGGCTTCTAGTGTGGTGAGACCATAGGGTCACACTAGTTGCTATTAACAGATACTTGCATATTTTATTGTGCTTCTAAAAGCAAAGAGGAATTGTTTTAGTAATTCTTTTAAAGACTGCATCTCTGTTTTTGCAACTATGATGGGCAACATCAGCATGCTCCCAAACTCTGGGAAAGGATATCCTTAAACTACTAGGAGCCTGTAGCAGAACAAAGTGGGGTGTTCAGCACAGTAATAAGAATGCTTCAGGGATTTTATTTTTTAATTAAAGGTGGGAACTTTTGAAAAGGATTACCAGGTAGAATGTGATCAAAAGCTAAAGGAGAATGTTTTGAGTATTCCCAGACAGAAAGGAATATTGAAAATATGTGGAACCACTGATGGGATCTAAACAGCAACCAGTGGAGTGCCCAGTTAAAGAAAATTTTAATGGGTTTGTGATTGTCCTATTTTTTGATAGCAGGAAGTCCTTCAGAAACATTTAAATTCAAAGTATTAACACTGGCTGCTGCCAACACCATGCAGTGAGCATATTTTAAAACAGCATACCTGAAATCCCAAGAGGGCAGGAAAGTGAGTTTTCCAAATTCTTACCTGAAAAACGTTCAGTATTTTTAGGTTTTATAAAGAAAAAAAGCATTAACACAGTGAGAAAGTATATCACTTGAAAGCTAAATATGGGAAACACAACTGGCAAATACATCTCTGCTTCAGGAACCTTAGGGTCCCAAATATGATAACCAGTGTCTCCATTTCCGCTACTGGTCTTTTTGCATTTTTCCCTCCATTTAATGAATTTATATGCTTCGGAAGAGCAAAAAAGGACTTCTTACCCTCTTTTTTAATGCTAGGTCAAGGTGTTACCAGCTGCAAGCTGAGCATCATAACTCTTAATTAAGAGTCAGAGCTGGAGGGCCACAACTTTTAAGTTTATTCAGATTGCCTTCATTTTGACTGTTCCTACTTTAAAATATTACCTAAACAATGCAGGAATGTTTGGAATGCCTGGGATGGCTACTTTCAACGTGTAACCACAGTAGAAGAGGTTGCTTTCTCTCCAGTCCCCTCACACCAGCATTAATCCCACATACTACCGTGCCACGGGGAGAAAAGGCCCCAAGTAAGACAGGAGGGAGCCAAGGCTGCATAGATCCGCCAAGCACAGGCCTTTGCCACAACCGCAGCCCTAAACCGACGTCGGCCCTGCCCCGTGAGTCAGCGACAGCTGTGCCCAGCCTGGCACGAAGGAGGCACCCTGGACTCGGCCACGAGCGGTGCGGATGCCACCCCGACGTTATGTCGTCGTTATACACGGCTCTTTTCAGTCGAGAACAACATC